ACCATAACTAAATAAATGTCTGGTTACAATGAAAGCTATTTCTTAAGTCCCATTACTCTTGTTTTCGAGTAAATGTTTAATAAATACCTGTTGATCTTTCAAGTTTCTGCTCTCTTTGATGCCTTCCTGTAGTAAGGTCCCAATGCTGTAATAGTGTTTTCACACTTCTTTGTGAACTACAGACAGCTGTGCTGTCATTCAATCTGCTACAGTCAATACTGCCTTCTCATTGTTGACAATTTAGCAGCACAGACTGGAAATTTTGGAACTGTAGCTACTACATTGGCTACACAGCTTGACCTGTTAAAGGAAGTGGAAAAATGATCAACTGTCAGGATCAACATAATGATTTTTAATATTGTCCCTAAATCCACTTAAAAATTTAAAAGAGATTTTTCTATGGGAGCTAAGCATATATAGCTATGCACATACTTATATGGCAGCTTGCCAACAACAGATTACTGCCAGAACAGGACAAAACAATATGAGAATCTTGAATAATAACTCATAGAAAAGTTTTTTGCAGTTTAGATGCTTAGACCAAATTTATCAGCTTCACTTAGTTTACTTAGCATCAGTTAACTTAACAAGACCTCTATGACCAATTTGCTTACCAAAATAATATTTACATTGTTTATGAAGGAAATGTAAATGTTTTTTTTTATTGGATTATTTTATGGGTTATTTAATTAAAAGTGTTTTTGATCAAACTTTTAACTTTTTGATTTTTTAAACTTTTTTTTAATGATTTCTTACACTATACCTTTTTTCGAGAGCGAGAGAATTGTCAAAGAAAACATAACTGGCAAACATGCTGATCGGTTGCCGATCATTAGTATGAGTTTTTGACAACACAATCACCAAAGTAAGAGCTTGGTTCTAGTTATCAATTAAAAAATAGAATAATGTTCTTACAAAATAGGGAACTGTGTCTGAGAAAATGCATCCACACATTCTAGTTATCTGATAGTTAACCTCATGCAGTGATATTCATGAGTATTTAATGTCATTCAGAGTGGAACTCTAGCATTTTGTACAAAGATTCTGTTTTGTGCAACTTGATTCTTGCATGAGCAAGCAAATGAGATTAAAGAGGACATAATGCTCTGTTTTGTAGGTTAGGATTCAGTGACAACAGGGTTGCTGAGAAGGGGTTAGTACCTGTACTCCTGTACGGGGCCCAGACCCTATCAGTTTAACAGGAGGGGCCCAGGCAACTTTACAGTGCAGGCAGTTTCAAAAGTTTCTGATGACAGCTTTGTGCCCCCCTGCAGCGCAGCTGGCTTCTCCTCTCTTCCTCCCACCTGCTATCAACTGCTGCAGAGGGAGCCACAGGAGGATCGGTTTTCCTACCCATGATTCCTTTTCCCACATCTTCAATCCCCTTGCACCCCCACAGCACTGCCAGCTTTTTCTCCTCTCCCTCTTGCCAGCTGTCAGCTGCTGTGGACACACAGGTGGATTGGTTTCACGACAGAAAGCGTGGGACCAGTAAAAATGTAATTCATCAAAGGATTGGGGATCTGTGTCTTTCTGTCTCAAAAGTAGGAAATCAAGGATCAGTTTTCACCCCACGGGGATCTTAGAAAATGAAGAAAATTTAAAAAATAATAAAATTGTAAAAAATTATTAAAAAAAACATAATTAAAGGCTAATTCATATAGGTACTCTGGCTGCATGATTAGGTGGTTTATTTATGCAGCTGTAGCCATGTTCAGGACCATACACTTGCATACACACCCCCACCCACCCAGGTTGGAGGGAGCAGTCAGGTAGGCTGTAGGGGGCCCTAATTGACAATATAAGGATTCTGGTAACTATAAATTCCTGTTTGCACTTCAGTGATTAGGAATCATGGGCAGAATTGATGTTCTGGCCATGCATTCTGGCCATGATTCCAAATTGTGGCAAAACAAGCAGCATGTATTTGGATGCTTTTCATCCTCAAAGGCACCCCAAACAGTGTGATTTTTCCACGATTGGCGTGTGACAAAACGTGTGAGAATTGTGACAAAGAGCGAATGTAAAATCCCACCAGGCTCAGCACCGAAATTTCCTTTCTAGCTTTGTTTCCATGACGTACATAGGGCAGCCCATTTAAGTGAATGGGCTGCCATATGCAGAAAAAGCGCTTGTAATATTTCATCCTCCCTGATTCCCCCCTTGTGACTTTACCATTGAGATCAACAGCACAACCATTTGTCCCTCTGCACATGCCAGGGTGCTAGGTGTATCCTAGACTCTGACTTCTCCTTTGGGCCCCACATCCAAAATCTTGCCACCTTAACCTCCACAACATTTTCAGAATTCGCTCCTTCCTGACCAATGACAACACAAAACAACTTATTCACTCCTTGGTTATATCCTGCCTTGACTACTGCAACTCCCTCCTCACTGGCCACAAAACAACTTATTCACTCCTTGGTTATATCCCACCTTGACTACTGCAACTCCCTCCTCACTGGCCACAAAACAACTTATTCACTCCTTGGTTATATCCCACCTTGACTACTGCAACTCCGTCCTCACTGGTCCGTCTTTATACAGGTTATACCCCCTTCAGTCTATTATGAATGCTGCTGCTATACTAATACACCTTACTAACAGATCCATGACTGCTGCCCCTCTCTGCCAATCTCTCCACTGGCTTCCACTAGCCCAATATATGAAAGGCAACATACTAACCATAACGTTCAAAGTCATTCACAACACTGTCCCCGGCTCAATCACCAACCTCATCTGCAGATATCACCCAAATTGTCCTCTCCGCTCCTCCCAGGACATCTTGCTCTCTAGCTCCTTTGTTACCTCCTCCCATGCTTACCTCCAGGACTTTTTCAGAACCACCCTGAAACTCATTTATTCTGGAAAGCCTACCCCACCTCCACCTAAAAATCTGTACTTTGGTTACCTCAAAATCAAATCATACCCCGCAGCTATTAACTTTTGTACCACCTCCCCCTCCTTTTACATTGTAAGCTCCATGAGCAGGGCCCTCCTAGTCCTTCTGTATTGAACTGTGTTGTAATTGCACTGTCCCCCTTTATATTGTAAGTGCTGCACAAACAGTGGGCACTATAGGAAACCTGTATTATAATAATAATAACAATAATAATAATAATATTAATCACATGATAATTGCACACTCAAAATTGCCAGCGGGACTTCTCATTCCCACTACGCAATATGGGAACAAGGCCTAAGAAGCTGAATGCAAATTAAAAATTTAGAAACACTCAGCAAATTGCATGTGTCTCCTGAGTGAACTTAAACAAAAAATGTCATGTTCCCCTGGAGTGTACGTTTCTTGGAATACATTTCTTAAACAATGGATGTAATAAACAGCACATAAAGATCCTTCTGTGCACAATATTTTATCGTGTGCCATATACAGAGACTGCTCTGACATTGACTAGGATATTCTGACCTTCCAAAGGATAAACATTATGTAAACTGCCACAGCACTGAGACAAACTAATCAGATTATAGCGGCATTCAAACAATTAATGGCATTTTGTTGGAAGATGGCATTTGATAAACTCTGCTCTGTTCCTGGGTGCCTTTGATTTTTATTAAAATAAATTCTCCTTAACAGTAGATGAGGTGTGTTGTAATTTTTCATTGCCTGAGGCTAACAGAGCAATATATCCATAGCATGCTCTAAATCTTTATAGATATGGTTATTATATTCACTTTTCTATGAGCTGTCAGGTTATTGAAAGTACTAAGCTACGTTATATCTACCGTATTTTATTTTTAATACTCAGATGTCATTTTGATTATAAATAGGGATGAGAGAATCTGCCCAGATTCAGTTGACCAGGCACACCCTGGAATTACAACCACAGAAACCACAGAAACTTTACACAATACAGAGGGAAAGGAGAACAGTGGCAACTCTCCCATGTGAGTTGAGTTGTAGAGGCAGTGGAGGACCAGTGAATGGAACATCTGGATTCATGAACAGAGAGGAAAGATCAGATGATGATGAGGAGGAAAAAGGCAAAAGAAAAAGTGGATTCCAGGTCAAGGAGTATTTAACCTCAATGGGGAAGAGTTCACAGATGATGAATTTAGAGTACTTGACCTAGGATTAAAACATGCTCCAGATAAAAAATATTAAACAATTTTGTTGCTTACATAAATGTACAAAGATTTGTTAGGACACCCAACATAAAAAATATTATATGGGAAAAGAGACAAATAGTAATGAAACAGTTTAAAACAGTGGTTTAAAGAATCATTTTACATTTAATCCAAAGCTACCTGTGAATCGATGCCTGGAAGTTTTTAAAACATATGGTGGTGAGTGACATTAAAGGATAAGTTCACCTTTCATAACATGTTCATGATGTAACATGTTACAAAAGGACCGACCCCCGATTTGACAGCTAGCAGTGGGGGATGTTCCTACCTCTGCTAGCTGTCAATTTTTAAAAAAAAATACGGCCATGTGGGGCTCCGCCCACCTGGCCACCTCACTCATTCACAGTCCTCCGTGAATGGAAAATTACTTTAGCGGCTGTCGGCTTGTAGTTCACAATTAACTACCAAGGCGCTGTGAGCACTGATCGTCCATTCAGTCTTCCTGTCAGTAAGTATCGGCTTCCCTGTACGAGGAAGCAGATACACTGACAGGTCTGAAGGAGACCTGCATGGCATCAGTGATCTCCTGATTGCTGGTGCAATACTTTACAGGCTCCTGCAACAAAAATAAAAAATGCATATTTTTTACCTGCAAAAAACTGCATTTATTATTTTTGTCAAAAGGTGAACTTATCCTTTAAAAGCCTAGAAACAGATTACTCAGGAAAATGTATGGAAATATGGAAAACCATTAACCGCCTCCCGCCCGCCATATAGTAATATGACGGAGGCAAGGTGGTTCTTTCGTTCTGGGAGGACGTCATATGACATCCTCCCATTCTAAGCAAACATGCGTGGCTCCCAGAGCGTGCAGCACGGCGATCGGCGGTGCGCTGTGTCCCTCGGAAACAGCAGATCACCGTTCCACGGAAAGAGCCGAAGATGTCGGTTCGGTCATGTGATCAGCTGTGTCCAATCACAGCTGATCACATGTAAACAGGGAAATGCCGGTTATCGGCATTTCTCTCCCCACGAGCTGTCACGCTGACAGCTTGTGAGGAGAGGAGAGCCGGTAATCGACATTCCTCAGAGGGGACATGTACACAGATCATCAGAGCACTGATGATCAGTGTGCCCTGATGATCTGTGTAGCCCCAGCAGCGCCAACTGTCAGTGCCAGCTCTCAGTGCTCATTCATGCCACCTGTCAGTGCCCATCAGTGCCACATCAATGCCACATATCAGTGGCAATATGAGCTGCCTTTTAGTGTCACCCATCAGTGCCAGTCAGTGCCACCTATCAATGCCAGTCAGTGCCACCTATCAGTGCCAGTCAGTGCTGCCTATTAGTGTGCATCAGTGCCACCTATCAGTGCCAGTCAGTGCCACCTAACAGTGCCAGTCAGTGTGGCCTATCAGTGCCTTTCAGTGCCCATCAGTGATGCCTGTCAATGCCTATCAGTGCCGCCTACCAGTGCCTCCTCATCAGTGCCCATCAGTGCCACCTATCAGTGTCCATCAGTGCAGCCTATCAGTGCCCATCACTGCAGCCTCATTAGCGCACATCAGTGAAGGAGAAAAATCACTTATTTACAAAATGTTATAACAAAAACTAAGAAAAAACTTTTTTTTTCAAAATTTTCAGTGGTTTTTGGTTTGTTTAAGAAAATAAAAAAAAACCCAGAGGTGATTAAATACCACCAAAATAAAGCTCTATCTGTCACAAAAAATGATAAAAATTTCAAATGGATACAGTGTTGTATGACTGCGCAATTGTCATTCAAAGTGCAACAGCGCTGAAAGCTGGAAATTGGCCTGGGCAGGAAGGGGGTATAAGTGCCCTGTAGGCTAGTGGTTAAACAAACTGAGAGAAGTAAGAATGTAGTAATCCATACCAAGGAGGGAGTATTGTCATACTGAATAAGTGTGACTATGAATATGAAATGAAGAGACTCCTGGAATTGGAAGGTACACTAACATTTTACAAAATAATCCCAGTAGAATATACAAAAAGGGGAATGTATAGATGGGTAGCTGTAAGAATTGACCAGTAGTATTAACTCACATTTAAAAGATAATAAAGAATTATTTAACATTCCAAATAGTAACAATTTGCTATGATTGATGTAAACTCCTTGTACACCAACATTGCACAAAAGGATGAACTGGAGGGGGTAAAGTGGGCACACAATAATAACTCAAACCTGAAAAAAGAACAAATATTTCTGGTATCAGAATAACTACTATGCACAATCTAAGGATATTGTGGTGCGAGAAAAATATGCTCCCGGCATAGCAAACCTATTTATGAGCAAGTGGGAAGTGAAGATAATACATGGTAAAGTCTGGCTCCAATTTAGGCTCTAAAGGCACTTCACATTATAGTTGTATGGGAAGGACACAAGAATCATGATATGCATTTATGGAACAAATAAATGATAATAGATAAAATATATATTTTACAGGAGAATAAAATGAAAATCAAATACAAATTTAGCTGTGGTGGAATTCAAACATAATGCGTGACTGCGTACAAAAACCTTTAATAAAAAATTGATAGAAATGGTTATATTCCAACATCAAGTTGCCATCATCCTAGATGGATTGGGAACATATCCAAAGGCAATTAATGAGAATTCAGAAAAATTCAGATTTTGACGAGAATTGTGAAGAAAAGGCCAATATTTGGATCAGTAGATTTGTAGAGAAGGGTTATGAGAAAAAACTTGGAAAACCTAAAAGGGAAGGTTAAATCTGTGAATAGAGACCATTTACTGTGAAAACAGAATGATAAAACACATATTTATGATATAGCCTTTGTTACAGATTTTAATAGGCATTATAAAAATTTGAAACAGATCAGTAGATTTGTAGAGAAAGGTTATGAGAAGAAAAAAATAGAGTACCTAAAAGGGAAGGTTAAATCTTTGAACAGAGACTGTTTACTGGGAAAACAGAAAGATAAAACAGATCCTTATGATATAGCCTTTGTATAGATTTAAATTGGCATTATAAACATTTGGAAAGCATAGTAAAACGTCCTGTTGGAAGGATAAGACACTGGCCAAGGAATTGCCCACTAAACCTATATTTATCTGCAGAAGGGCACCGGTTTTTTTAAGGAATAAATGAGTACATAATATTTTGGATCCACCTAAAAAGAAGGTAATCTTTTTGGATCAAGAACTGTCTCTTAAAAGCAGAAAAAAAGAAATCAATTTATGTAAATTATTACCCAACATAAATATGAGATAGAACAATTTATATCATGTGACAGCACTCATATGACCTACATGCCGGAATGCCCATGCGGGCCACAGTATGAGAGAGGACAACTAGGAAGCTGTTGGAAAGTATAGTGAAGCAAATAAATAATATCTGAAAGGGTTTAAGAAACATAGCCTCTCAAAATATTGACAGTGACCTTAATTATTTTATTCCAAATGACTGAGCCCTCAGTATGACTTTTAAATTGTTTTAGAATTTTTTAAATATAATTTTTTATATTTTATTCTTTATTTTTATATTTTTTATACATATTTTATATAATTTTTTTTGATTGATTTTTCCTTTTTTTATGTATATGTTTTGGTTTTAGTCTTATAATAATTTTGAGATTTTAACAAAAAATAAACATAATATTCCAGTTTTATGTGGATTTGCTTATGAGGATTACACTTTTTTACACACTTTGAGGGGGATTTACTAAAACTGGGGCGTGCAAAAAATTTCGTGCAGCTCTGCACAGAAACCAATCAGCTTCCAGGTTTTATTGTCAAAGCTTAATTGAACAAGCTGAAGTTGGAAGCTGATTGGGTACCATGCACAGCTGCACCAGATTCTGCATGCTCAAGTTTTAATAAATCTCCCTCCTTTATTTACATTTTGAATCTTAAAATTTTGCTTTGATTTTTAAGATTGGTGTATACAGAAGGTCCTTATGAAACAGTTTAATCAGTCCAAGATAATCGTCTGGGGGGGAAGCTATCTAACAACAGATTGAGCAGGGCGAAAAAGGAAAGGGTTAATGTTTAGAGCCTCAGAGTGTATTTAAGCAGTGGAGAACAGTAGGGCAGTGCTGCTCCTAAAGTATCCTATTTAATATTGTACAACTAAAGAGAATCATATATCTATATTGTACCGCGCTCCAAAAATTAATAAATCTAAGTGCTCTAAATAAATAAATAAATAATTGTATATAACTAAAAATTCAATAATAATCTATATCCATAATACTTAAATTCATAATTGCATAATACTTGAATCCATGATAGAAGTGAAAAAATTCCATTAATATTGTAAATCAATACATAAAAAACTTCGTGCCTGAAAAACTATTTAAAAAATAATAAATAAATAAAATAAAATAAACTGGAAGAAAATTTTGTATGAATTAATAATAGTTCAGTTCATACGAATTGAGATGGTAATGTGAATCAATCTGACTGGCGTGGTAAGTCTATGTTCATGGCATGAACCTCTCTCTCCTTCCTCCTCTCCTTTCTCCTCAATTCAGCTTTTCTCAATTAGGACTTTCTCCTCTATCTGCTTGGCTTATTCCTCCATAAACGATGCATACATAGAAAAGGGAAAAAGAAAACATAGTGTCTTATCCTTAGTAAAAATGTTTAATGAGCTTCTGATCTCCCACTCACATGGTATCAGCAAAAGTAACGCTTTGTGTAAATAAATCCAGGTCCTCCTGCAAACAGCCCTGCAGGTGTGTGTGTGTTTCACTCGCTATACTCGCCGTTTCCTCTGTGGATGCGTGATGACGTCACCGCCCCTCCCTACGCGTTACGCTACAGGGACTCGTAGCTTCCTCTGGGGGATGTAGTTTTAGATGTCATTCCTGCACCGAAGGTTATATATATCCTACCGACGCCATTTTTGGTATGATTTAATCGTTCTTGGTGCCCACTCCATATTAAAGGAGTCCGAATTAGACCACAATGATAACAATATAATATATATTAATAGTGCGCCTCTTCATCCTCCGGCTGCATATCGAATGCTTCCACACACACCTTTCACAATTGGATTGCAAACTCCTACTTTTACATCGCCATAAAGATAATGATAATCATTACTATAATGTCCACAATTTACATACCATATCTCCATAATAAACATTTTAATTCATTTTATAAAACATTTTTAATAGAAATAACCTTAAAATGAATATGACAATAGCTAATTTGATAATATGCTCTAAAAATATAAAAAATAAAAATTGAAAATAAAAATAAAATAAAAAAAAGAACAATGAAAAGAAAATAAAGATAAAAATAAAAATAAAAATAAAAATAAATATAAATATAAATAAAAATAAAAATAAAAGTAAAATAAAAATAATAATAAATAAAAAATAAACATAAGAATAAATATACAAAAAATGAAATAAAAATAAAAATAAAAAATAAAAATAAAATTAAAATAAAATAGAAAATAAAAATAAAAAATAAAAATAATAAAAATTAAATAAAAATAGAAAATGAACCTATTACTAAAATATTTAAATATTCAGCGGTACAAAAATTATGTATTATATTAAAAATGCTAAAAAAGCATCAACCTTTCCTTAAAAATTATTTTTATATACTATTCTTTAATTGACGTTTTGAACGTAAACACATCTATATTTCCCCATATTTATTTTACTCTATATAAGAAATATATTATTATACTCCTTAATTCATATTAATATCAATAATCACTCAGGAAACAAGCTAAGTCAAATTCCTTATTTAATCCCAGCGGGTGCAAAGAATTCATTTGATAAATCCACTGGGATTCTTTTTTACTAATTTCTCTGACAAGGTTATCCCCTCTCCAGTGTGCCTTATGCTTGTCTATTCCCCAAAATTCTAATCCTTCTGTTTTCTGGCCATGGTGTAATTTAAAATGTAATGATACATTATGATATTTATATCCTTTTGAAATATTTCTAACATGCTCCTTTATTCTTTCTTTTAGCATGCGTTTTGTTCTTCCTATGTAGATTTTATTACACGGACATTTTAATGCATATATTACCCCCTTAGTGTCACATGTTATAAATTGATTTATCTTAAATATTTTTCCACTTATTGGATTAGTGAAATTCAATCTATTCCTGGGGTTATTCTTTGTTCTAATACAACTATAGCATCTTCCACATTTATAAAAACCAATTCCCTGAAAAAATGAGAGTGAATTTTGTTTGGGGGGATCTAATATATTCTTTACTACCTTATCTCTAATGTTGGGAGCTTTTTTGTAAATGAATCTTGGGTTATCCGGAATGCTATCTTTCAAATCTTTGTCCAGTTTCAATATATCCAATGTTTTTTAATTATTTTTTGCACTTCTTTATATTGTTTATTATAAGGCATTATGATACTCGTAGCATTA